GAACCTATCCAACAACAACGCGGTCAACAAGTAAGCCGGCAACTCGGCCACCGAGTTGAGGAAGACGTTGAGGTTGAGGTTTGTCCCGAGGTTCACGACATTGAGGCTCAACCCGTAGTACACGACCGAGCAAAAGAAGTTGATGCTCACGGCCAAGAAAAGTCTGGCACGCGTCATGGGCGAACGGATCACATCAATCAAGGAACCCGTTTTCTCAGACCCTGAGTTCCCGTTCTTGTCCTCGTCGAGGGCGAGGGCGACGCCATCTGGCATGGGCCTCCCGTTGTCCCGGGCGATGTTCCGCATGATGTTTGTGGCTTGGACGATTTTTCCCCTTATGAGGCACCAACGGGGGGATTCGGAGACGAAGGGGAGGACGGCGAGGAGGAAGGCGAGGGACGGGAGGGAGGTGGCGACGTAGAGAGCCCGCCAGGACGCCGTGAAGAAGGCGGCGATTCCGGCGAGGGCGGCGATCCCGCCGGAGAAGAAGTAGAAAGTCGACATTCCGGCGAGGCCGCGCTTGGTGGGGCCCACGGGCTCGGTGGCGAGAACGAACGCGCAGAGGCCGACTCCGCCGGTACTAAAGCCGGTGAGGAGGCGCAGGACGGCATAGACGGCGTAGTTTGGGGAGAGGGCCGTGAGGCATCCGAAGACGGCGTTGAGGAGGCAAACAACCGAGAGGGAGCCTTTTCGCCCGAGTTTGGAGTCGGAAAGGTGGCCGAAAACTCCAGCGCCTGAAAAAAAAAATGAAAAAAGACGACGCGCCGGAAAATATTTATTAGAATAATGATGAATGATAGTTGTTGGTTGAAGTAGGCAGGGCATTTGTTAGACATGAGGTTGGTAAGTGCGAGTGTGAAGACAAATTAAACCACAAACTCTAAGTACGATGTTGTTCGAGATTGTTACTATAATAAGCATCCCAATCTTAAGAATATATATTTTTTTAACGTTGGAATTATATATGTTCACTATTGATAATAAGCAAATAAGGTGAAGTATTTGGTCACCCAGCAAGTTCTAATGTTTAGTTGATTTGATACCACAAAAGATTCTCTGTGGTGCAGAACATGGTTAGGCAAATAACGACATAATAAACACAAAAAGGTGACAAGGAAGAAAAACCAAACGTGAATGCAACAAAGATCATGACAGCTTTCAACGGAAAATCATAGAAAAGAGACAAAAAAGCAAATATTAAAAGCCGAATAAAGTTTGTACATAATTGAAGATTATTCATTGATATTTCTGAATAAAACAAAAAATAAATAAAGAAACGCGGGAGCGAATCCGGCAGCTAACAGGAACCCGCTAACTTATGTAGTATTCGGCTATATACTTATACAAGTCTAAATAAATTTGAAACACAACTTGCACAAGCGTCCTAATCTGACTTATTAGCTAACAGATTCGATCCGGTCTAATATAATTTATGCCTGTCAATTCCTTTCAATTCAGTCCAATATTTGTGCTTTGGCTTTTGACTTGGAATTTTGTCACCTTGCTTTTAATTTTTTGTTAAAATAATATTTGCCCCGTCCTATACTAATATAGGAGAGCAAATCACAGTTTTGCTATAAAGACAATGGATGGCTCCGCTTACGGAGTCATCCATAGTTATTTGCAAATAGTGTATTTACACGTGTTCTACAATAAATACACTTTGGACAGATGTCAATACAATAACTGATCGATGACTCTATAAGAAAACTATCTAATGGCTCCATAGAATTTTTGAAGCAAATCATCACGCTCAATCAATAGAGCAATGTAGGACAAAATGAGAAACTAACATGTAAACTACATAACCTTGCAATGTATGACTTATTCAAGTATTTATTTTAATTTAATGTATGACTTATTCGTTGTACCAAAAAAATAAATAAATGTATGACTTGTTCGAGACCCACATCGTCTCACACGAAAATTTGTGTCTTGTGATAAGGCAACGTCTAAAAGAAAACATTTCGTGTTTTTATTTTTTTTTTTTGTTCTAATTTCCAATATTGTTATCAAGATAGAAAGTAAAAATAATAATAATTTCTCCTCCGACGTATTGAAAAAAAAAAATAGCAACACCTTTGAGCTCGCTTTTTTATTGTTAAAGTCTAGCGACATATTGTGACTCACCGTATTAAAACAATTCATCCAATAAATTATATACAGTAATTTAAATCAGAGTGTTCACAATTTAACACTCTTGTATAATGAATTAATATTTCATCGACTTTCATGTGTTTAAATTTGTATACCATCAATGTTTAACAATGGCAATGGATTGAACTAATCCACGAAAACAATTACTAAGAAAACAATAGAAACTATTTGGTAATTTTGACCAGCCCTTGGGGCATTGCAGTTTTTTATTTTATTTTATTTTTTTTGGGTACAATAAAGGAAGCTAAGAGGCCTAAGCTAGTACGCGTCGAGGATACGACATCCCGAGAAGGTCATGATCAAGCCAAGCACCAAGCCCCTCAGGCGGGATGCCAAGTGATGTACGCCCACCAGGGGTCCCTAGGTCACACTCGGAATCTATACACAAAATCTATATTTATATAAAGAGTGGACAATTCATATTGTCCTTTTTCAGTATTTTTTTTTTTTTTTTTTTTTTTTTTTTTAATTATGGATACAATATAATTGTAGATAAAAAAAATAATAACAAATTTTCTTTATTTTACCGTATAGTAAGTATTTTATTTTAAATATTATTTAATACATTCTGAAAATTTCACTAACAACTAATTATACTAATTTTTTAAAATTAATTCTAGTTAACCAATATAACTCATTTTGGACGAATAGCGAACCCTTAATATATTTCATATTTTATGATAACTTGCATATTTTAAAATATATATTCAACGACAGCAAATAACCATTGGATGCCCTTAGTTACATATTT